GTGTTGTGTTGGTTGTCCATAGAGGACAGGCCTACCTTAAATGGAAAGTATCCACCATGTCTGCTTCGAGTACTGAACTTACCCAATCGGCAAAATCTTAAAAACTCTATACCGTCAGACTTTGAGTGTCACTGCTTGAAACTTGTGGAGTTCTCTCATCATCTAAGTAGTTGAGTTATGAACCACAAAAAGAATCACAACTTTCATCTCTTGATTTCCTTTAGAGAAAATTAACTCTCCTTCAAGGACCACGGCACCCATGCAAGGCTAAGTCCCTAACCAGATAAGTGGAGCACCATTCTTGTCATTCATGTCTCTACAAACCTACTTACAACTTGATGGGTTTTAATAACATGTTTAGGGATGAAATGAAGCTTTGAAACTCATAATCAAGAGCAGACAAATGCTCAGATTAGCACAAGGGGGCAGATGAGACAACGCAGGGTTTCAGTACGGAATATTCACAATGGGGGTAGTACACGGATATAGGCGCCAAGAAAGAGGAGACCACAAGATCAAACTAGAAATATACGCTGATATCTTTGGATGGAGATTTGAAGAACCATTTTTACCGGTAAGATGTTCAAACCCCTCAATCAGAACCCTGATAAACCAGCATATACACTCTGGAGTTGGAAATTTCACCTCTGGTACAGATACAAGAGAGTATGCTGCCCTATCTTTCAATGCAACCCAATTAAAAACAAAGATAATTATCTTATGTAATTTGCTAAAGCAGTCTCCTTAAATTTTAACAAATATCCACAAGCCTCAAGCTGCAACCAAGCCGTAGACTCAACACAAGCTGTAATGTTTTCCCGTCCTCAGTAACAGAAACTGAAAAAGCCGATAATTAATATCAGAAAATATATCAGGTAATACTTTCTTTTATCATTTGCGTTATGAAATCCAGAACTGGCATCCTTAAATATTCCACTTGCACAGGTAGTTAACACCCCAAAACACTGAAGCCCTATACTTTAAAGGCCCTAACGGTTATCTATAACGAGCTACTACAGCTCAGTACCTGAAACCAAGGTCCGGAGGAAGGCCCAACAACATTAACCTTGGTGTTTCCTGGATGAACAAGAGCTGCTTCAGAAACAAGAGGCTGAGGTACACCAAACGGGATGCACGGGCCATAAAGAGGGGATGATGGCTGACAATACTCACAACTTCACACGCCTATTTCAGAAGCTTATATAGAACAACCACAACAAAGGACCAAATTGCCATTCATTTCACCCCACAAGCATGAACTCTATTTGCTATCCAATTACTATAAATCCTCGTCCAAATAAAAAAAGACCTACTATAACCCAGTCACATCACGTATCCATTTGGGAATGTCATTATTCAACAGTTGGCTGAAATCAAGTGGCAAATAATAGAGAGATTTCACCGCCCTAATTTTGTTTCTAGTTTCTCAATCCAAAAAAGTTCACCGTCAGTAAAAAGAAACAAAAAAGACCCTGTTGAGTAGAATCACCTATGATACAAAACAAATGCATCATGTTCCACAGCTACCCATTTTCTATTTTCCTCCTCTCCCTCTGTAATACTAATGATGAATCCATAAATAAACGAAATGTAGAAATTACAAACAAAAAGTTAGACATGGCTTCTTTCCAAAGGAAAACCAATGGTCTCACATAGCATCTCATCCTGGACATAAATTTCATGCACGGAAAAGATTATCTACCAGAAGAAGTAACCAAAGCAGCCATCACATTTCTTTCAAAAATTAGCTAAACCAAACATATCGATTATCGTCATCATCATCAGCGGCAGCAACAACCATATTCGTCACAGTCAACCAGTAAAAAATCATCACAAAACCAACAACACAAATTCAAACAGCACAAAATGGAACATAAAACCATTCACCAAATCAAATCCATCCACGCAATGCATGATGAACAATACAGCAACAGAAAAATGAAGCATAAACACAATTCATTGAAAATACGTTACTGCGAAATCAAAAGCTCAGCATTAACACCATAACATATCAAACAAGCCTAACGCTTAAGCACACAAACACAAACACACAGAATTAAAAAACTGCAGCACCAAATTACCTACGATGTGAACAATTAACGCAAAATTAAAGCCATTCAGATCAAAACAGGCTACTAATTATATGAATTTCTTAAAGAATAACGAACTTTCAATCGGGAACGACAAGCGGTGCAGTCGCCGATCCGAATCCGATAACAAACGGCGGGATCCGCTTGACAATCCGGAGCTCCGGCTCGCCTTTAGAAACTATGTGCGTGTGTGTACGTGAGAGAGAGAGAGAGAGAGAAAGATACCGATATACAGAGTGACAGAGACGAAGATGGGAGAGAGAATTCGAAACGAAGCTGAATTTATAGCCTCCCTGAAGATATGATCGTTTCCAGAGCCTTCGAAAACGTCAGGTCCACCGGTTTCTTTCTGTTGCTTCTCAATTGACAGCTTGTGCAGTAAATTGCCTGAAAATATCTCCGTTTTTTCTCAATTAAGATAATCATATTTTATCCGGAGCACTCGCGCCCATTGTATAACTGTGGGTAGCGTAAATCTAGCGGTGTGGATATCGTAGTATTAAATCGGACGGGTCCAAAGAGAGAGAGTATGTTAATTAACGTGCATACATATGTATTAGAAAGCTTCGCTTTAAATGTCGGTGACGTTGAATAGTATTATGTTTCTTTCGTCTCGTTAGGAGAACTTGACCATTCAACGGTCAAGATCGAAGCGTACACGTCAGGTCTGGAATTTAGATTGAGCTATAGCGCAACGACGGCACGTGTTACTTAAATTGGTAAAAAGTTATGATTGCATGCCAGGTGTTAAGGCTGACGTGGATGGATTTAAAGATATTTAAAAAAATATTAATTAATTTAAGAAAATCTCCAAATTGATGTTTATCCAATAAAATGAATATTATATTATATAGCATTGATTTGTGATAACTCCATTAGATGTCGTGACATGTTGGTGAGAGAAGTGATCATGCGAATTGGGAGACCATTA